TTGACGAGCGTTTCGGCGTTTGAAATACGCCTTTATCAAGAGAAACCTGGTAAGTGGCTCGGGAGCTGTTTATAAAGCTCGATAGCCACACCCCTGGATTCCGGAACTCCAATCAAAGCCCGAGGGTGACGAAGACGTGACAGCTCACCTCCCCCACACAATGAACCAATCAGGGGAGGTGGGCGGGATACTCACATTCCCTCCGTGTACCAAAGGGGGAGGGGCTTAACATCGGCATAATAAATGGATACTAATTTTGCAGATATGGCACAAGGCCAATGAACTATTCAAATACAATGTTAAAACAGTGTCAAAGAGTAACTAATAAGATGGTAATAATAAACTGTAGATCAAACAAGCAGAGAGCAGATTTACATTGCTTAAAGTAAACATTTGAAGTATAAATTTAGGTTGTCGAACGGACAAACTTTACCCAAGACCTAAATAACTCTGTGGGATCCTTGGAGAATTGTAAGGCAAATATTAATATAGTAAAAATAAATAGACGGGTATATTCAAATATTTGTAGAAACATATAATCAGTGTACCCAATATAATAAACTATGAAAACCAAACGAAACCCGATAGGATCTATCAAAATAAGATAAAAATACTGCATCTGAAAGGAATTACCAATCACAATATTCAAAAATAGTTCAAAAAACCTTGAATATAGTTCTTTTCATTTGATTACAAATAGTATCCAAAATAATGTAGAAATATCACGTAGAGATCTCGCATTGTACTTACCAAGGTTATAAACTAATGAAAATACCATATAATGTGTACCATAAAGATCACAAACAAATAAACAAATTCACTAAATAGTGAGACCGGTACGGATCGTATTAGAAAGACAGGAAACTAAGAAATTCTATAATTATTAGAAAGGTGCAAAGATGTGTATTAGTCTATCAAATAAATGGAGAAAAAGAGAACCCTTCATTGAGTCCTTTTGGATTGAGGCTGTTCAATTTTATGGCAGGACAGGAGGCTTCATATTTGCTTTACCTTCTTTACCGAAACCTCCAGCAGCAAAGAAACAGTTAACAGAACTTTTCAAAACAACCAATAAGAACAAAGCAACAGTAGTATAAAACCCCTAAGCAGGCTCTTCCACTTCCTCTTTCTTTGCTGCTGCCTCCAGGTGAGCACTCACCAACTCAGAGTTGTCTCTGCTCTTGGTTGTTGTTTTATCCTACATGCTGCTTGTTTATTTAAACAGTCTATTTAATCAGTCTATTTGTTAGGTTTGTTTAGGCAGCTTAATTGCTGGTTTTATTTAGGCAGGGTTCTTGCTGGATTTGTTCTAACAGTTTGTCTGCTGTGTTTATCTAGGCAGTCTATTGCTGTGTCTATCTAGGCAGTCTATTGCTGGGTTTAGCTGGGCAGTTTATTGCTGGATTTAGCTAGGCAGTTTATTGCTGTGTTTAGCTAGGCAGTCTATTGCTGGATTTAGCTAGGCAGTCTATTGCTGTGTTTAGCTAGGCAGTCTATTGCTGGGTTTAGCTAGGCAGTCTATTGCTGTGTTTAGCTAGGCAGTTTATTGCTGTGTTTAGCTAGGCAGTCTATTGCTGGGTTTATCTAGGCAGTCTATTGCTGGGTTTAGCTATGCAGTCTATTGCTGGGTTTAGCTAGGCAGTCTATTGCTGGATTTAGCTAGGCAGTCTATTGCTGTGTTTAGCTAGGCAGTCTATTTCTGGGTTTAGCTAGGCAGTCTATTCTGTGTTATTTCCTATACCACTTCATGCTATGTAGCTGCTGTATCACTTGTTAACATCTGTTGCTGTATTTAGGCTATTTTTCTGATAGATTCTGGATACTGCTCATTGATTTATTGTTATTCTGGTTTACTTTATTCTGTTTTCACACTCTGCTGTATGGGGAATGGGTGTCCCTGCTATGATGCTTTGGCTCTGCCTGTAATCTGTTTCCCCTCCCCGGGTTCCCCTGCTGGGCTCTGTCGCCCATAACTTTCTTCCTTATTCCCCACCTGCTCCCCGTGGCCCCTGGCCGCTTGCTGAGCAGCCTTTTCTACCGTGGCAGTGCCGCACGATCACCACGCGGTACGCCGCGCTCTGTTTTTGCAGCCACGGCAGCCATTTTGTTGGAGCCGCGGCGGCCATTTTTCAGAGCCACATGGGCTCTGTGCGTTGCGAACAGCCAGGTCTCACCCACGAACTGGCCTGCTGGCCATGTGGCCACCCTCCCCTCTCCCTATATCAGGGGATATAGCCCAGTTTTTCAGCTATCCCTCTACTTACTGTGCCTGTCTCACATGCTGCATATGTAACAGATCCTGGATAGCAGGATCTGTCCCAGGCACTCTCACAACTGCAGCTTACTATGTCTGATGCAATGTGACTAGGTTCTCTATCTTAGCAGTAGACTTGTCACACTTTTTTACTATTACATGTGAATCTCAGATTTAAAGGGACATGTTACTGCTCAAATAAAAATCTTTGTTTAACAAGACTATGCCACATGTGTTATATGCTAATCAAGTCTTTCTCTAAGGTTCAGTCTTTTTCTCATAAAAATTAAATGGCCTGTTTTTCAGCACCTAGCTCCCCTGCCTAGGATTTGCTGCCCTTCCTGCAAGGGACTTACATTTTCCACTACACATACACTTCAAAAGTGTATCCTAATATAATACCTGAGTGGTCTGTGAGTCAGCTTCTCGCTATATGGACCCTCCTACCCCCTCAGGGGGGCTACTGGCCCCACATTCAGACTTGTTATTACTGGGGGGGTGTACCTCCTCCCTCTGGCAACATGGCTACCTATGAGTACCCTGCTGGCTCTACTGCGTCCTGTAAGATTAATGCTGAGGGTTTCCTGTTTCCTATACTAATGCTCCGGCAATGTCCTGCTATTATCATACCGAGGGGGTACCCCTCCTGCAGTCTGCACTGCTGGACCTGCAGCGTCCGGGTATTCCCATAAAAGAGGGTACCCCTCCCACTGATTGAGCTTCTGTTCTTACAGTGCCCTGCAATACGAAGATACTGAGGGTGACCCCCTCCTGTGGACTACTCTGCTAGACCTACAGGGTCCCGTTATAACCATAATGAGGGTGACCTCCTCTCGCTGACTACACTGCTGGGTGTACAGACCTCTGTGATACCACACTGGGGGTGACCCCCTCTTACCTACAGCACTGCTGGATCTGCAATGCCCGGTTCTGGTTATATGAGGGTGACCCCCTCCTGCCGTCTACACTGCTGGACCGGCAATGTCTGGTTACTTTATTATACGGCTAACCACTTCGGCACTACTGTACCTACAGTGTCCGATTATGTTCAGACTGAGGGTGACCCCCTCCCCTGCTGGCCTATACTACATGGTATGCTTGTGCTTGTTGGGTGACCCCCTCTTGAACGCTGGGTGACCCCCAGCTGGCTGCACCAGATATCATTCCGACAGTGTTACCTCTATGGCAGTTGTGCAGTCACGGCTGAAGGACAAATCTCCCGTACCCAGAAGGTCACTTGGCCTGTCCTCTTGCCGCCCCGCTGACCTCACTGCCAGAAACCGTCAGTACCCTACGGGGACAATCCACCGGCCATCCTAGACGCTACACCAAGCACCCCTGGTACTCGTTGGCTAACGGATGGATTCATCAAGAGGATCAGTCTTCATGACGGAGTCCGGAAAGGACACCGCAAACACCTGACACGGGGTTTGCACTCTATCTGGGACTAACCAGTGGATGTCGGTGACACGCGGACACAGTTGTTTCCTCTGGACGAACGGCGCGTTACCGCTTGGAAAGCGGAGAAGACTAAATTCCCACTGGGAATGGACCGATATGACTTATATGTATCGCCTAGTTGGTTTCTACCCCTGAGAACCGCAAAACTGCCCCTGTCCAAGCTGGACATCAAACTGATGGATTTAGCATCCAAGTGCTGGGTCTGCTCTCCGGAGCTACCCTCGTGTACAAATTGAGCTGACACGTCTCTATTCAAAGGGTTCCCCCTTAACTAGCCCCAGAGGTCTCTCGGACCGTGCCCGGACTCCAGATCAAGGTTGCGGAACCTTGGACCGTTCCATGAGCAATACGCATGACCAAAAGAGGCATCCATTCCGACTCATTCCGCAGTTGCCCTGCTGGGCAAACTGTGCGGTGGAGTGGACTCCCGCCCCATCCCCACGCTACATGCTCCCAGTGCATATGTCGTCTGTTGACACATTTTGAGACGGAGGGCACTCATCCCCTCTGAGAGCTGCTCGGCGTTGACGATTGGTTCTCTCCCTCAAATGCACATGAGAGAAACCCGCATAGATTTTGCCATCAACATGGACATATTGAATCTGACTCACTCCCAGTCAACCCAGTTTCCGGTCTTTCGTGGAATATTCAGTCCAGGCGGTGCTCCGCCTCCCGAGGACCAAGATGTCCGTCCTCAAGGAAAATACCAGGTATATGCTCCGCAACCCGCGGGTTACACTTAGGGGCCCAACCCGGTTTATTGACCGGTGCCTATTCGCCATGGAAGCCATACCTCCAGGATCCGGTACTATCAGCCGCTCCAACATGGCGCTTTCTCGGGTCTCCGGCCTGGTATGACCAAATCATGTGACCTTCGGATGAAGCTCATCTAAAACTTAATTGATGACTCCGGAGGAGGGACTCCTTTACGCCAACTGCATGGAACTACCTGCAGGTTTGTTCAACATTCACAGTATTGCTCGCTACCCTCCGGCATGGACTTCTCACCGGTTGCCCACTACGGACTTCAGTCGGATCTCACATAGGCTCGCTATCTATAGCTTCTGGACAAGTATTCATCATTTGTGACAGAATGTATGCGGGACGAGACACTCATGTGGCGGACGGCTTCGCCCGACCATGGAGAGACCCCAATGATTGGTTGCCTCACCCTCCGGGGTCTCGAGTACTGGCATGATTACATTCGGTGTGGACCGCCATACGGAGCGGTTCTCCAACTGGCTGCCGGACCCTCAGCGAGGCACGAGTTTTCCAAGCTTGGTCTCCTTCGGGGCGTACGCATCCCGTTTACCTACAGGATACTTTGGGTTTTGCTTCAGACCGAATTCCTGGAAGTGTCGTTTCGCCTGGCCAAACCACTTCGGAGGAGTCCTGCGTGCTTTCCCCTTTTTGCTGGAGTTTGCCATGGGAAGGCAATCTACGACTCCCTGTCTCTTAATGTCCCACGTGGGATCCACAGGGGTAGCCTGCCACGACTCGTGTTTGGGTCCCAATGGCGGTCCTTATCATGGCTGTCCCCTTTGTCTGGCTGAGTTGCCCTCTCAGGGTAGGATCGTATGGGGCCATTCATGTCCTATGTCAGCTAGTGGACGACTCGTGCGTTTTCTCAAGATTCTGGCATTGCTAAGGATCTCTTGGCCTGCAGTCTACCAAGAGGAGTATACCGTACGGGAGCCCTATCTCTCGCTATTCCTCAAGTGTGTTCTGCATTTCATTGAGGAATGACCTGATGATAAGGTGCACCGTTTTTTTCCGCTTACGGTTTCCCCCCATTACATCTTGTATTTCATCGCGTTCTGACGTCATGGTATCGACGTGTCTTCTTCCTTCTTGCCGTTCAGTACATCAGCTTCTGCTCCACACATATTTCATTTTTATTCGTCCTCTGTGTCGTACCCCTATTCTCCGGATAGGGCACGGCTCTGTTGACAGATTGTACACGACCATGTAGATCCAGAATCTGGTTCTTTCGTCCGTCTACTCATGGACAGCTGTTTATTTCTGCGTACGGCCGTTTTGGACTGTTTCTGCATCTTCGCTCGCCCGTTGGATTTGGTGGATCCTCTCATTGACTGACCTTGAGTTCCTCTGGGACACTTTTGGTTCGGGGTGCTGTCACCTCAACAATTTTGGAAGCCGTTGGGTCCCTTCTGCATTTTCTCTACACCGCTGCTTGGTTTAGGGAATCAGTTTTTCCATTCTCCTTTATTTCAGTCCTCTATCTCATATTGCTTCTGGTTCTACTATTTGGGCGTTAAAATTGCAAATATGAAGCCTCCTGTCCTGCCATAAAATTAGGGATTATTCTAGCCTCGGTGAGGGAATAATCTAAATTTTATTAAAGACAGGAGGCGAATATTTCCCCCCCTTTTTTTAACGTTCCCTCCCTGGATCTGGGTTTTATTCTATTATAAATAATTGGGGATATTGTTATGTTTTGTGAATGCATGGTTTTACATAATAAAGGCTATTTCTAATATTCAGTGATGGTTGTCCGTGTGCGTTTTATTCATCATGTTTGTGTTGTAATTATGTTTCGTCAATGCCTTTTAGCTTAGGTACATACTAGGTCTTCATAAGATCTGTAGACTTTGTTTATTCATCAGGTATTATGATGTGAAAGTGATAGTGTATGGATATGACATCTTGCCTTGACAGTTTACTTTCACAATGTTTTCTGTTTTCTTGCAGTGTAATCTGTTTTCTTTCTGGGCTTGACGATTGTTTCTCTGGATGTGTCTGCTACAAGGTGGATTCGTTGGTTTCCTTGCTCTCCTGCTCGACCTCATCAAAGAAAGAGGAAGTGGAAGAGCCTGCTTAGGGGTTTTATACTACTGTTGCTTTGTTCTTATTGGTTGTTTTGAAAAGTTCTGTTAACTGTTTCTTTGCTGCTGGAGGTTTCAGTAAAGAAGGTAAAGCAAATATTCGCCTCCTGTCTTTAATAAAATTTAGATTATTCCCTCACCGAGGCTAGAATAATCCCTAATTTATAGATCCACCTACATTCTTTTTGGCGTAGGATTTTATCAAAATCGCCCCGTCTTTGATCACGCTTAACAAGTTCTAAACCATAGAACCGATGGCTTTAGAGGATGTTGTTCCTTAAGATGTCTAGAAATAGGAGTGTCAAATCGATTCAGAGATTTGCAGTGTAGCGGATTCCTTGGTTGCTACATTGTAAGATCTGTGACTGTAGTTATGGCATAATTTGCAAACAAAATTAATTTGCAATAAACAAATTTAATTTGCAATTATGCTAATTGTTTATATGCAATTGTGGGGTATGGTTGCAAAGTCTTGCAGTAGTGTATACATAAGTGCCAGTGTGAAGGGGTTACTGGAAAGAAAAATTAAAATTTTCATTGGGCAAAAAAACTTTAAAAAAATTATTTTTCAAATAATAAAGTTACAGATAAGAAAACAGTTTCATATACATATTCCCACATATTCTATAATCCTTTTACATATATTATCCTATAGGTTCTTTATACTTGTTTCCCCATGTATTGTAACGGCATCCCGATAGGGTAAGGGGTTTTTGCTGCCCAGAGATGTCCTTTCTCCCCTGTTGTAAAAGGGGGGCTGTAGAGTAGAGCAGGAACAGCTCTTAGAAGAGCTAGTTATTATAAAGCAATCCCAAGGCTTGGATTGCAGCTGTTATAGCTTTCCCCTACAAGCAGAGACTATGTGTTGAGGGTAAATCAGGAACTCAAGGTTTAATGGGGCACACTGGCCTTTCATATAAGTTTTCCAACAAGGGTAACGCCCAGGTGGACCTTGTTGGGCACAGGACACAAAGTATGCAAGCCAATAAAAACAATGTGATAATGAACGACACTCCCACATACAGTACACAAACCCTCCCCTCTGCCTGTGATATAATTAAGACAGATAAAGCATTAACTTAATTATCCCCAGGCAGAAAAAAAACACACATTTTTACAAAGTACCCCAACACACAACATATCCCCATAAAAGTTACATCCTCGGATAGCCCCGATCTGGGTGAACAACATATCCAAAAATCACCCAGATCAGCTCAGGGATTCAGGAATTTCCTGGAAGTCATAGTTTTGACCGACCGTGCACATGGTCCTATGCCCAAAACAGTTCCAGGGAATTAGGGCCAACGGTTGGTCTCTCTTTATGGAGTGCAAAAGTACTTACAATACATAGATGGAGCCTTTTAAAGTGTATTGGGCAAGGTATATTGCAGGGCCCATTGTCACAGGGTAGGAGGCAAGCAAACAGGCCCCTCCAAAAACCAGTGGCGAGGTCACTTTCGCCACAAATCTCCCTCCCTAAGGGAAGACTAACCAGGTACCTGACCTCCTGTCGGTCGGTGCCTGAGTTAGTCGAGTAGCCCACCCATAAGCAAATACTAGTACTCCTGGATTCTCAGTTGCTCTCTGGCTGGTAGTTGGTGTTACTTGGTGGGCAGAGACCAGCAGTGCTCTGCTACGCAGCCAGCATTACAGCTGGGCAATTGAGAGGGGTGCCAGTTCCAGGATTAAGGGCAAGGGGAGGGCAGAGGCCAACTGTGATCTGCCCTGTTGCCAGCATTTCTGCTGGGGTGGCCTGCAGGTATTCAGGCCCTGGACAAAGATAAATAGGAGGGCAGAGGCCAATTGCACTCTGCCCTGGTGCCAGCACCTCTGCTGGGGGGACTAGTATGTAATCCTGCCCTGTAACAAGGAGGCAGGTAGGGCAGAGGCCAGCGGCATTCTGCCCCAATGCCAGCTCTTCTACTGGGATGGGGTCAGCGAATACCACCCCCAGGACCCGGTTGAGGGTCTGCTGTGGGGAGGAGGGATCGCCTACTTCCTCTTCCAGGCATTCCTGCGAGTTTGGTTGGGAATCTGTATCAGCCATCCCTGTAGGTCTGGTGCATAGACCGCGGTCCCATCTGCACCACTGGGAACAGGAGTTCTGTCCCTCTGTAGTTGGGGAGAGGGACCGGCTGTCTCCTCTTCTGGTATATCTGGCCGTCGTTGGGGAGGGAGACTGGTTGTCTCCTCTCCGTGCAAGGTACACTGCCACTGGGGAGGGAGACTAGTTGTCTTTCCTCCCTGTAACACACACTGCTGTTGGGGAGTGGGACCGATTGTATCCACTCCCTGTAGGATACATGGCCGCTGGGGAGGGAGGATGATGCTCTCCTCTCTCTGAAGCTCACCCTGCCACTGAGGAGTGAGACTGCTTGTCACCACGCGCTGTAGGATACACTGTCGCTGGGGAGGCAGAACGATGCTCTTCTCTCCCTGTGACTCTGTCGACCACTGGGGAGAGAGACCGGTTGTCTCCTCTCCCTGCAGGAAACAATGCAGATGGAGAGGGAGGATAATGCTCTCCTCTCCCTGTGACTCTGTCTGCCACTGGGGAGAGAGAGACTGGTTGTCTCCTCTCCCTGTAGGATGCACTGCCGCTGGGGAGAGAGATCAGTTGTCTCCCCACCATGTAACTCCAGCTGCTGCTGGGGTCTGGGCCGGCTGCCCAGCATCCCTGTAGGGCTGGTAGAGAGACCTCAGTTCTAACTCCACCTGCCATCTGTGGGTCTTCCCAGGACCAGTCTATGAGGTCCCCTATTTCTGCAGCTGGTAGTAGAACAGGGGATAATGTGACTAAGTCTCTGGAGGACAGGTACTGCTGCTGATTTGCTGGACTGATTATTTCTGTTCCTGGTAGTATACTTGGTCACCCATCCAGTGGTTGCGTTGGGTGGCGTACCACTTTAGTGCCCGGTAAGCTTCGTCCAGCCACAACTCTTTCTAAATCAGGTCCCACAGTTCCGTCACCCACTCATCCAGGGATTGTTCTCCTAGGAAAGGTAACCCCAGGGCAACGTATACCTTCACTGGGAAGGCTCTCTCTCCGCCAAAGCTGCACATCCTCTAAGGCCTCATAACACAGCTCCTTTCTAGTGGCATCTCTCCAGTCCAGTATGTCCTCCTCTGATACAGGCCCATTCTGTTGGGCCAAGTGTTGCTGCAACCTCCAGAGAAACTCCTCCTCATATGGTGTTACAAAATGTCTTTTGTCACTGTTTCTTTAAGTGACAAATTGCCCTGCTTCCCTGTATAATGGAGAAGCCTAATTGCCAGCCTTCTTCCCCATGACTATGGACCTGATGTGTATGGCCCTTTAAGAACAGTATTTGGGCATAATGGATTTTTATTCTGCTGCTGCTGGCCCTTAAAGAACCGTCTGGGGACATATTGAGACTTTTATGGAACAATGCCGCTTTAAGACTGTGTCCCCAGTCCCCTAAAATTCTTTGTTTGTACCCTTTTCCTACTTGGTTCAGTAATGGGGCTTACTGAACCAAGTACCACACAGGCAGACCACCCAGAAGTGGTAGCTTGCAGGCAATTTGCCTCCCAGGCTGGGAGCCTGCTGTAGGGAAATTACCGACCGCTGGGTTGCCGCCGTTTGCACAAATAAACACGTGGCAGCGGCCATTTTTATCCATTCGTACGCGGTCAGCAGTGTGTGCAGCCAAATTCATGGAACTGAAATCGGCTGCACATTTCAACGAACACCGCTGACCCTTACCTTCTCCTCCACTGAGTTTTCAGCCACAGAGACTAAGTCCTGTTCGGCTATTTGAACTCACTGCTATACTGAGCCAATTGCACAAATGGCCCCGCCCCGTTCATGCATTCGAATGGGACTTAGTCATTGTTCCACCTGAAATAGACCGACCACACAGCCCAAATCTATGGAACTGTTTTGGGCAGGAAAATGTGCTTGCGGTTGGTCATAAAGGACTTCTCTCTAACTTTTTATCTACTGGAGGGATTTGTATGATTTTTGAGAGTGTTTATGTTTAAAGTGTGCTGAGTTTGAATATGTAATTTATGACGATTGAATGTATATTTTTAAAGTTACAGTACATGTGTAAAAACTGTATTTTTCCTGCCTGTGATAATTATGTTAACACATTGTGTACCATAATTATATCACAGGCAGAGAGGAGGATTTTGTGTGTAATTGCTGGGAGTGTTTTACTGTAATGTACTTGTGTTATTGGTTGTTCTGCAAAACCCTGTGGGCGGTTCTGTATGTGTAAGACCTCCATAAAAGAAAGCCCTTTGGTGCCAATTAAAGAGAACTACTTGACCCTCTAACTCGCAGCCTTGACTCGTGTTTGTAGGAGACAGCTATAATCACGATAGGGATTGCTATGCTCTGCATACTCCCTTAGCTACTGAGTTCTTGTAAGAGCTCTTGTTTCTGATCCTGCTTCGCTCTACAGAAGGAAGAGGTTCACCCACTGGGACCTGGAGCCTGGTCATAGATCCAGGGGGGATAGCAGATCCCAGCCCAGCAGCGGCGGTTTGTGGAGTCTGCAGTGCTTATAGTGTCTACGGTGCTGATGGTCCTTTGGTGAGCGCTAGGAGCATCCTTTTCTACGGTCCAACTTTCAGCTAGCCTAGAGGCAACCATATCACATGGGGAAAGTGCACGCGTGCTAGCTCACTCCATTCTCCCAAGGTTCCAGGTTCCAGTGGGTGAACCTCTCTTTCTCCAGAGAGTCAAGCAGGAACAGCTCTTAAAAGAGCTTAGTGATTATAATCCCTTGGGAGTATAGTGATATAGCAATCCCCAGGGTCAGTGGCGTACACATGACCCATGGGGCCCCGGTGCAAAAATTGATCCGTGCCCCCGCGCTCACTCGGCGTGGGTCGGGGCCGCAACACTTGGCGGCAGGCACCTGGTCGCAGGGCTGCGACCCCGCGACCGCGGTATGCTGCACACACACCTCAAGGACCACTACAGACACCCAGATCACATCAGCTCAATGAAGTGGTCTGGGTGCCAGGTCCCTCTAGTTTTAACCCTGCAGCTGAAAACATTGCTTTTTCATAGAAACGGCTATGTTTCACTGAGCGTTAATCCAGCCTCTAGTGACATCCGCTAGAGGAGATTCCGCGATTCTCACTGTGAAAATCACAGTGAGAAGACACTGAACGTCCATAGGAAAGCATTGATTAATGCTTTTCTATGGGCGGATTAAATGCGCGTGCGCGCCTCTTGCCGCGCATGTGCATTCGGAGCTGAGAGGCGGAGAGATCCCCAGCGCCAAGGAAGTCCGGTGCTGGAGAAAGGTAAATGCTGAAGACACACACTCTCATGAACAGACGCATACACACTAGCTAACAGACACACACACATTTACTGACAGAGACACACTCAGCGACAGACATACATACACACTCACTTACAAAACATATACTTTCACTAACAAACACACACTCACTAACAGACATCAGACACACTCTGTAACAGACACACTCAGTAACAGACACACTTACATTCACACTAACAATTACACACACACTAACACACACTAACACACACACACTAACACACACACACTAACACACACACTAACACACACACACTAACACATCTTTTTTTTTTTTAAATTGAATCCCCCCAGCCTCCTTACCTTTTGAAGTGCTGGGGGGATTCCCTGGGGTCCAGTGGTGGTGCTCTTGGGGCTCGTGGGGCTCCTGGGCGGGCGGGCGGGTGAGCAGGCTGTCTGGGTGGCCGGCGCGTGAGGGAGCACTTTCCCCTGAGTGCTTCCTCTTCAGCTCCCTCGCTGGCCCAGTAGGTACATACCAGGTCGCAGGGGCGGCCGGGCCCCCTGGTGTAGAACGTGTATACTAATGTAATCTTTTATGTAATTATATATATTTATCTATATATATATATATTTGCGCTTATTTGTATTTTATATATAGATAGATATATATAGAATGTCATTCTAAGTGTATTTTGTTACCAATATATATATATATATATATATATATATATATATTAATAAGAAAATACAGTTAGAATGAAATTACATATGAATATATAATTTATATTACATTTTGTTTCAATATTTTATTTATTTATTTTATTATTTTATTTATTTATTATTGTAATTATACGTATATATATATAATATATGTGTATATATCTATTATTTATATATAAAAATAATATATATTATTCATTCTAAGTGTATTTTAATACTAATATATGTACTTATATTAATATTAAAATACACTTTGTATGACGTTACATAAATATATACATATATTATATATATAAATACATTTCTATTTTTATTTTAAACATGTTTAATATTTTTTTTACAGCTCCCACCAGCAGGGGGACATTTTAGACAGTCCCCCTGCTGGCAGATCCACAGCCAGCTATAGGGGCCCATGTGATCGCTCTTTGAGAGCGATCACATGGCCCCTGGGGGCTTCTTTTGCAGTGGGAGGGCTGCCTGGGCTGTCAGGCAGTCCTCCCGAAGCGGAGCTCTGGGGGCTGCAGCCATAACGGCGTTCTATGCCGCCGCAACGGCTTTAAAGCCCTGTTAAATGGGGACGGCATAGAACGCCGTAACGGCGTTAACTGGTTAAACCAGTGATCAATAGCTAAGAGGTACTTCAACAATATTGTAATTCTGGGGCAATATTACAATAGAGGTCAGTTTATAGGGAAAACTGTTGCCTGTATACAATTCTAGAACAATTTCCATATGTCCTTTGCAGACTTTACATGCTGGAAAAACACAGGTTCCAACTGCTGTGGCTTTCTGCAGTGTGCATACCGGCAAGGAGGGCAGGGTTGAGGAGTGGGTGGAAGATGATGTGGAGGATTATGAGGTCCTAGACTCCACATGGAATCAAGGTCATGCGAGTGACATGTGCAGTTTGGAGGAAGAGGCGCTTGTCGCACAGAGGTACCAGCACAGCTTAAGAGGGAGCAGGGTGCAAAAGCGGAGCGGCCGTCCCCTAGCGCTCGACGGCATGTATTAGCTCGAGAATTACCATTTATCCAAGTAATACATGTAGCGTTCAAAGGATCCATAATAGAGTTGAGCGAACTCGAAATGCAAAGTTCGGGTTCGTACCAGATTTAACGATCCATTCGTAGTTTTACAGCAAGGTGGGCAGTCCGGTGACCAGGACCCAGACACTGTCTGGGCGGCGGTCGGACGACCAGGACCCAGTATGCCTGATATTGAAGTTATGAGTCACAATGTGGAATGGATTAGCAAGGTCTGGTGCGGGGTAACCGCAGGCTCCCTGGTGTTGAGCACCAGCGTTTGTGCGGCCACATACCAGGACCCTGATGCAGCTTCAGTAAAAAGAGTACTGGATACCAGAAGCCATCACCACACTGATCCGCAACTTGGAACAGGATGCGACATTCATTGTAGCAGCTGTGCGCGCTTTCGGTGTTCTTACCCTGCTGCTGCTCGCCTGTCTGTGCTGCAGCTTGGCCTTCCCGTTCACCGCCTCATGAGACTGTGGAGTTTCAGCTGCAGCACACATGGGTCAGTGGCTCTGCACCAGAGTTCCCTCCACTTGATCAGAGTTAAAGGATTTCAAGTGGACTCATTACAATTACAGGGCCTCTAAAGAGTCCTGTATTGTTATTTGTCGTCACTACCTTCCTGCGTCGTGAGTGGGTCATTTGCGTGCCTGCTGCCTTCCTTGCATGTGGTAGCAGTTTCTCAGGGTCCCTGTACGGAATGGAACCCTGATTCCCCGTTACACGTGGTCACCATGGTAGGCGCAGAAACTGGCATCAAAAGTTGATATGGATGACATCCGCATGCAAAGTCGACGCCACAGGGATGTGCAATTGGCCCGAGGTTCTCTAGAGTCAACAAAGTGCCTGCGCAAAGAAAACAGTGTTCGCTACCTCATCCTCATCCTCCACCGCCACGGTCACCGCCTCCTCAACCTATGGGTCACTTAGTATAAACTAGGCCTTTTCTTCATGCATCAAGAGTTGAGCATTTCTCCATGCATCAGGACTGCAAGAAATGCACCGCAGGCCGCAAATGTTTCTTTTGTTGTATATCCCAATATTTTGTGGGTTACCACAATTAAAAAACAAAACATAAATAACAGTGTTGGCTACCTCCTCCTCCTCCTCCACCACCACTGTCACCGCCTCCTCAACGCGGTCACGTGATATGGTGGGAAGGGACTAAGGAGGATGATGCTAGAAGCCGCATCCTAGGCGGCAACACAGTGAGCGAGTAGAAAATAACAAACACGTGATCGCGAACAGCCGCGATCACGTGGAGTGTAACAATAAAGTAATGTGCATGTAATTTAAATAAAAAACAGCATAAGACATGGTCCCAGCATTTAAAAAACAAAACATTGGAATATAGAATAAAGAGTGATGATCTTTTAACATGGTATATATGCTTAATAAATAAAAGGTATAAAAATGTGTGACAAAATGATAAGCATATGGTAAAATAGGGTTAGACCTAAATTAGGGGTGAGCATATTAAAAGTAATGATGCACAATAAAAATTATAAAAAATAAATAAATAAAAAAAATATGGTTTCATTATAAAAAATGATGATATTATAAAAAGTTAAAAAAATCTAAATCTGCATTTAGACCATTGGGACAGAGAGTTTTTAATTGAAAAACCCAATTCATCTCTCTTTTCCCTAAAATCTTTTTCATGTCCCCACCTCTCCAGGGCATGGTAACTTGTTCTATTCCAATAGCTTTTAAAAATCTTGGGTCTTTATTATGCATTAAAAAATGTTTGGAAACTGAGTGGTTATCATAGCCTTTTTTAATATTGCGGCAATGTTCAGCTAGGCGAATTTTTAAGCATCTTATCGTCATGCCTATATACTGAAGTCCGCAAGGACATTCTAGTAAATATATAACATTCTTAGTGTTACATCCAATAAAATCTTTGATAGGATATGATACCTTTGTGATGGTGGATGAAAAGTCTGTAGTTTTAGTGTTGGTAGCTGGATTTGTAGATTTACATACAACACAAACTAAGGAGAGAAAGGACCTCTTAGTATATAAAGATAAAAAAGATGACCCTCCTAAATTACCTATCATCTTAGATTATAATAGTAAAAGTAAAAATTTAAAAAAAATTATTAATAAGCACTGGCATATTTTAAAACAAGATGACCTTTTAAAAAATTACATTCCGGATAGGCCTAATATAATATTTAGGGGAGCCCCAAATTTTAAAACAATTCTAACAAAGAACTATACTAAAACCACCATTTTAAAGAAAGAAAATGTTATGTCTAAACCAAAAGGTTTTTTTAAATGTAACAAATGTGTTGTATGTACATCTAAAAATCCAGCTACCAACACTAAAACTACAGACTTTTCATCCACCATCACAAAGGTATCATATCCTATCAAGATTTTATTGGATGTAACACTAAGAATGTTATATATTTACTAGAATGTCCTTGCGGACTTCAGTATATAGGCATGACGATAAGATGCTTAAAAATTCGCCTAGCTGAACATTGCCGCAATATTAAAAAAGGCTATGATAACCACTCAGTTTCCAAACATTTTTTAATGCATAATAAAGACCCAAGATTTTTAAAAGCTATTGGAATAGAACAAGTTACCATGCCCTGGAGAGGTGGGGACATGAAAAAGATTTTAGGGAAAAGAGAGATGAATTGGGTTTTTCAATTAAAAACTCTCTGTCCCAATGGTCTAAATGCAGATTTTGATTTTTTTAACTTTTTATATCATCATTTTTTATAATGACACCATATTTTTTATTTTATTTTTTTTTTTATAATTTTTATTGTGCATCATTACTTTTAATATGCTCACCCCTAATTTAGGTCTAACCCTATTTTACCATATGCTTATCATTTTGTCACACATTTTTATACCTTTTATTTATTAAGCATATATACCATGTTAAAAGATCATCACTGTTTATTCTATATTCCAATGTTTTGTTTTTTAAATGCTGGGACCATGCCTTATGCTGTTTTTTATTTAAATTACATGCACATTACTTTATTGTTACACTCCACGTGATCGCAGCTGTTCGCGATCACGTGTTTGTTATTTTCTACTCGCTCACTGTGTTGCCGCCTAGGATGCGGCTTCTAGCATCATCCCCCTTAGTTCCTTCCCACCATATCACGTGACCGCGGTAGCTCGCGATCACGTGTTTCTTTCAGTATTCTTTGCTCCACCCCGCTGGTGTCGATCTTCACTATCGCCCAGCATACAGTTCCCACAAGTCTTTTCAGCCGCACCACATGACCGCGCGACGGCGATCACGTGTTTTTACTGTTTGTAAATATCTTACTGTTTATCTTAACCAATGCTCGTTTTTAAGATTTAATTATAACATTAAATTATAATAACTTTTGTGTTATTTTATTAAGAATCTTCCCAATATTTGTCTTCTTCTCTGTATTTTTATGTTTTAATGATGACGTCATTTTGGCGCCAAATTTTGAATCTGCATATGTTCAGATAGTTTATAAAAGCATTCATGTACCAGTCTGTTTCTTTCCTTATTGCCAATTGAAAAAGCCCTGTGAGGCGAAACGCGTTTTGGCTGTATTTATACTTTCTATATTTTTATTTACTCTGTTATTATTAATAACGTTATATTGGCCTTTTTATTAGCTTTTACAATACTTTTTATTATACAATATTACTTTTTATTTTGAAACCTGGTACCTGCTATATTGGAACACGCATATGCTCAAGAATCCCAGGTGGGGATAATACCACCTACGCTACCAAAGTGAGCAGTATATCCTGCTCATATACATGTGAGTATTTTACTGCTTTTATTATTTTACCTTTTTCACTTATTCAGTGAGCACTATACTGTCTCTCCATTTTTCCACATACCGAGGAGTTCCTATTTTTCGCCACCTATATCCTACCAGTGGAGGATCAACGCCACTGAATGCTACTACCACTTGAGCAAGTTTATGCTCAGAAATAGGTGAGTGGACCATCTGCTATAAGAATCGCTTATCTACCTATTTGCTGAATTACAATCTGCACTATTGGAGTCTCTCTGTTTTTCTTACATGCCCATATATTCACCATTGAACTGAGACATCGTCAACATAAGAAGATCCAGCTACTTTTTGGACTTTCTCTAGACTCCAGTATCATCACAGGTTTTATTAAAGACTTTATATTATTGGGATTATCTTTCCTGGTTATTTATACTTTTGTCCTATCCCATTTTATATTTACTCCTATTACCATTACCATATAGCGCTACCTATATATTTTCTTGTAGATAGGGAATTAACTTAAAATAATATAAAATAAATAAAAATAAAAAAATAATAATCTTGAACTAAGAGGAGGAGGTGGATGTGGAGTAGGAAGTTGAGGAGGCGGTGACCGTGGCGGTGTAGGTGGAAGCGGCGGTGGAGGAGGAAGAGGTAGCCATGTATGTACATAGTGGGGAATTGCGATGCAGCCTAGAACAAAAAATAACCCCATTCAACTCCCCAATAATGACAGACCACTTAGTATGGATGAGCAGGCCACAGCATTTATTATCACAAACTAAATTTACTGCATAACACATCCATAACTGTATTTATTAAATCTCTTCTTTTTCTGTAACCAAAACGTTAGACATAAATAAGCATAAATTAACATATATACATATACAACTCCACACATAGTGTTATACAGTGACCCAACCGTCCTTGCCAATAAACATACAGTGGTTCCTAATCACCACTTCCTCTCACCTCCCCCCTCATCATAAAAATCATATCTTTCCAATGCTCGCCATCAGCCGACCTTATCCACGCTTGATGACAACGACACCTCAGGCAACCTAATGTTAACCTTTTGAAGCAGGGGAGGTTGAGACCTTAAAAACTTGTTCGTCTCATTCCATATACTTAAACGTAACCCCTCAAACTCAATTGGCAAGGACATACCCCCGGCTAGCTGTGACTAAATATACTAATAGGGCGGGTGGGAGGGAAGCTGTTTGCTGGCCCGAATCCCAAGTGGCACTGAGGTAAGACTTCCCCCACACTATGATTATGTTCAACACAGAACATAATCCCACCCACACACTCTTTCCCATCCAATCCCATGCATCTATCCCCACACTCCTACATGTGCCCTTGTCCGCTTAGCTGCGCTATCTCCCCAGGGCCTTGTATGTACGTAGTGGGGAATTGTGATGCAGCCTAGAACAAAAACTAACCCCATTCAACCCCGCAATAATGACAGACCGCTTAGTATGGATGAACAGGCCACAGCATTTATTATCACAAACTAAATTTACTGCATAACACATCCATAACTTTATTTATTAAATCTCTTCTTTTTCTGTAACCAAAACATTTACAATTGGCAAGGACATACCCCCGCCACAACCCCGCTGTTTTCCACCTAAAATCAGCGGGGTACCCCACCACAACCAGCCATGGCCTGTTCCACCACTTCTAGCAGTGCCAGAATAAGATAGAATAAATACTGCACCAGGAAATTAAATGACAATTCGTGATCAATCTAAAAAACGGCAGGGCACCAGGGCACTCACATTGCTGAGCGCACTGCCAACAGGAACAGGTGATAGCCTCAGCCCGGCCCCTGAGAACCTCTGGTAAGAAACAGAATGCGTAACATGTCCAGATTCAAGAGCACCCAAATTCCAAACAACCACCAAACCCAGGTCATTCCACCCAGACAGATGACAAAAACCCCCGGAACCCTAGGAGGCAGGACAGCTGACCCAGGACGAGGAGGAGCCACACCTCCCTCATGTACCTGGCGCCAGACCACCAAACCTCCACTCCTGAAGGCGTAAGATCCAACCACTCGCCCCCCGCCTCCTGTCCCAAATGACATATGAGCATCCCACCCTCCTTATTCCGGGGTGGACGGGAGGGGGGAGAGACAGTAACCGCGGAGAGAAATCCATTTGGGGACAGGCAGGGTTAACCCAAGGAACCTACCACCCTGACCCCCACTATTCAAGCTCCGTGAACCAGTGGCACAAGCACGCCCAGACTGGCGGCGTCTGTAGCCGTCCCCTAACCAGACTGAAATGCCCCCTGAACTCTCCACC